AGCGTTTGGCACGCATTTTTGAGCATCGGTGAAACCGAGTTTTGTAAATCCTGGCTTGGAAGTCGAGTCAGTCTTTTGTTTTGAGTCTGTCTCTTTGTCTTGAGTCAGTCTTTTTCGCTTAAGGGTCTGCCTTGTTGTATCGGGTCTTCGGACCGGGCGAGAGGGGGTGCTCATAGCTGACCTTCCCCGATCGTACCCAAGCTCCCGAGCCGAGACAACTCCGGTGATGATGGACATGTGGCCTTCGGCACCGAGTCAGGGTTTCCTAAATTTCCCCATTTTAAAATATTTAGGTGGCGACTCTGTATCTGGCAAAGCAGTCCATGTTTGGCACTACTTTTTCAAAAATCTATTTCTCAAAACGATTTGCCAGATTTGGACTCTTTGGTTCAGATTAAGAACCGCGACAACAAAAATCGCGAGTTCGAACTGTAGCGAGGGTCCCTTGCGGACTTGTTACAGCTAGTCAGGGCTCACCGGCTCATCTGATCCGGCAGTCACCAGTCACATCACCTTTTGTTCAAACTTAGCAGACCGTAATAGCACAGAGTTTAGAAGAGGTTTGTGGCCATGGTAGCAGCATTAAACCAGGAAATCGCCATACAGGGTGAGACCGATGCTGAAATGCAATGCCCATCTGGGGCACCTACTACACATCCAGCCTCAGAACCCCAATCATCTCAAAGCAGTGAGCCCACTACTTCTGAGCTTATGAGAATGATCGACGATCTTCAGAGAACTATGGCAGATTTAGCCTTTGGAATGTCGGCTCCGCCATCGACCACATCACATGCCGAAAATTTCACGCCAGAAGACTACCCACTTCTGGGGCGAATTGTAATTGAAATTGGCCAACCTGAAGCCACCCCAAGTTTGGGCAATGACATGTCGACAACAACAGGGCTCCGCTCTGATATAGCGACCTAATCCCTTGGCAAAGTGGAGGTGAGTGGAAAGAACAAAGTAGGGGCATACATTGATCCTTATGAACACCTTTTGTGGGCTGTTGAGGCTTTGAAAGCCGAAGGACTGAACAAACAACAAGTGCTCACAGTTGTTGCAAAAACTGTGGATGACACTTTCGCCACTCAGAATGAGAGCAATTCGAATCAAGGGGCAAACCGGGAGAAAGGCCGTTGTATCAAAAACGTTCCTTTCAGCCCTAATCCTGCACTCGGGAGAGATCAGCAAACCAAGTCAGCACTTGCCGACCCCTTTGCTAGTGCATCTAGCAAAAAACCACAAACCTCGAAGTACCAACCCTGAGGTCAGAGGGTCTTCCATGCCCTCTATATGCCTTTGTCCAAAGCGTTTCAAATCCTCGTAGGACAAGGCCATCTCAAACCCCTTGAGCCTCGGCCTCTCCCTGGTCGTCTTCC